GCCTTCCTTAACTGCCGTTCCTGCAAATTGGGTGCAGGATAAATGTGTTTATTGGCCGCCGAATAGCTTGGTATCGCTGTCTACAAATGAGGAATCGGTACCAGACAAACAAAGCTGGAAGAAGCAGAACTGTAAGCTGGTCGGACGTGCGCAAACATATCAACAAGCGGAGGAAGTGATCGGTATGTTGGACAAGATAACCGATTCTGAAGATGCTCTTCAATTGGATCGCGGAACACGGGCAAAACCAGGAAAATAGCAACCCAAGTTCCAATCAAAGAGTTATCAATTGGTAAGCTAACACAATTTGAAAGGTATCGGTATTTATTTATTTATTTAACTTATAGACACAGCCTGCTGAACCTGTAAGTGATATTTACGCTCCAGGGCCATCTGACAATGCAATCACGAATCCATCAGATTTCCACGTCAAACCATCACAAACTAGCCTGACCGGTCATCCATCTATGCAGATCAAACAGCCTCTGGACATGGGTTCTATACCATAAACTCTTCAGCTGAATAATCCTCCAGCTGTTCAAAATCCTGTGATACACCAAGCCATGCAGCCAACGGTAACAGATCCAATGGTTTTGCACGTCGATGCAGCACAAAATACGTTCCAGCAGAGCTACCTGACCGGATACGACAATGAAATCGATAAGGTAAAAAATAGCATCAATAAATGGTGTGATAAATAACACTCAATTCTGTTTTTAAGTGATTTTTTTCGCCTCTACTTGTGATCACCTGAACTCAATTTGCCTCCATATTTAATGCAATTTGTTCCTAAAAATATTTAAAAAAAACAATAATCAAGGGTAAAATTGAAAAAAAGAAAATAAGGGAATTTTGAGCCAGTTGATGAATCTCATGAGAGTGCACCATTCTTCCGGAAGATAATATAATAAAAGCTCGTGACGCCTGTTGTTTTCCTACCATATTCTTGGAAGGGAAACAAACGTGCAAAGAAGAGTTCTTCATCAGACTCAGGGAAGCATGTTACTTTTGAAGCATCTTTTCCGGAATTTATTAAATTTATTTATCGTTTGGTGCATGCCGCTGATTTGTCACACACCCGAGAGGAGAATGACAAATTGTTTAAAGACCATTTGAGGTATAAGAACACTGAATCCAAGCGCTTTGAACAAGGATATGGAGATCACCGAGCTTCAAGCACAAGGAAGAGGAGACAGCCACAAGTTCCCAAGAAAGAAGACGCAGAAGAAAATCAACATACTTTTTTAAAACGTCAGCGTTTATCATCGCATGATAGTGAAAGTATCAGATCAGAGCAGATGTTCGAAAGTAGCAATGATTCTGACACTTCACTTGAAGCAGAACTGTAAGCAGATTGGAGCAGTCATCTAACACTGTGAATCTAAGGTTTTGGTTGAGAAATAATATTGATAAGAAATCGAAAAGAAATTTTTATTTTTTTTTTATTCTCTTTTTTATTTGGTATTCTTTTGATTATAAATGTGGGGTTGTTATGAATAAAAATGTAAGGCTAATTTTGTTTTGATTGGTTTTAAATATAAAAAATATCAATGCATTCTTATGTTTTCATACCTTAAATAATACTTTAAATAATCAAAATATGTTTAATCATTTAAGTGTATGAATAAGTGGGAGGAAAACTTATTTGGGCAAAGCAATATCCTGACAATCATTTTTTACCATTTTACAAAATATTTTGTCGAGCCTTTAAACCTGCAAGTCAACTGTGTATTCCATGTTTGATCCATAGATGTGTAATGATGATGAAACAAAAGGTTTTATAAACAAATCAAAGACGTCGATGAGAGTGTTTCCAATTAATAGAATATCATTTGATGAAACATGTTTTGCAATGTAGCTGACTGAAACAGTTTTCATACTAGTTTTGAGAATCCACGGGTTCACATTCGATTGCGTATCAATACAAAAGTCTTTCATATCAAGAAATGAATACAATTCAGAATCATCTTGAATCAATGCAATTAAAATGGGGTTCATGATGCTTAAATTAGAGATTTTTCGTTTTAAAACTGGACTTTTTGTTGATGTAGGGTTATGACATGCTTTGTTAGATGTGTTTCCCTCAATTTCACATATCCTTCGAGCATCAAATGCATCAAATGTTCCTAGAGATCCGAATCTTTTGACGTCTTCAGCTAAATGGATTAAACTATGCATATTGCTGCAAAACAACTGATCCCCATACAAAACTTTCACACCTTTAAGAAAATCAGTTATTAAGCTCTGTGCAACTTCAAAGTTTTGTGAATTTTGATTATGCCTCATGCAAATTTGAATTGCACAGTAGAAATTCAGAAAATGATCGAGAATATCTTCGCTAGTAAAGAACTTTTTCAATACTATAACACTCAAATATAACAGAAATGTTCTAAGTTCTGTACCTTTCCAACGTGGAAGATGTTCCAATCCTCTTACTGAGCGTTGAAATTCACGAGGTAGTTTGCATGACTTTAAAAAACTGATACATCGTTTAATTGCTTTCCTGACCATTTCGCGTTATGATTGTTGAGTGTGCCTGACTTCCAACCGTTCAAAAAGCGTTTAGTTATTCCTAAATCAATCAGATGTAATGAATCACCGATAGGAAAATCTTTCACCATATCCAACCCTTGAATCTCCTCAAGAATACTATCGAATTTATGATGACCCTCATATACTCTGGATCGAAAATCTTTGTCATTTCTCAGACCTGCATCCATTTCAGGAAAAATCATTGTTTTAAAGTTGTGACAGTACTCTCCTTCGGTAACGCATTTCAAACATGAATTGTAACCATTGTGACCAATAACTCCTAAAAATATTTCAATTAATTGAGATTTTGAAGATTAACACTACAGGCTACTGACCTCGAAGCATTGACCGTGCAGGCGTGTCACAAATAAAGCATCGAAGTTTAATTGATATAGTGTTTTCTTTAATTATGAGTCCGCTTTGGAGAATATCATTCAACTCCATAACGAATGGGGATAAAAATGCATTTACATCCTTTGGTTTTACTAAAAATAAATAAATTTCGTTTTAGTTTGGTATTATCCATTAGTTGGTTAACAGTATTTACTTTCTCCACAGAAGATCCCAACTATCATCGGAGAAATGTTCTGGCTCATTTCATGTACGTTTACAAGAATGGGCCAAAAAGATGTTGTTGAACTTTTGAATGTGGGTAATCCATCGATGTTAACATTCAATGATAATTCTGATCGAATGTTTTCAAATGGCGTAAATGTGTTTTCAAGAACTTTTTATAAACCATAGTGACAATATTCTCCACCAATATTTTTATCAGTCTTGATATTTGTATTCCGTGGTGTGCCTACCAACGTCCGTGCATCTTTTGGAAGAACATTATCCGGAATATGAGATTTCAGGATATTGAACAATGCATTTTTAGCCACATGCTTTATTTGAAAGATTATAGCCCAATTCTTCGCCTCTTCTCGAAAATCCAACATATCTTGCTTTTCCGTTGCTTCATCAGCATCATCGTTGTCACTATCCACCTCATCCACATTGTTGCTACGTCTTTCGAAAATTTCAGCAAAATTCACAGATTGATTCAGATTTGAGAAAATTTCTGGTAGATTATTATTATTCAATGTTGGAGATGTGCCAGATTAAATGTTTAATGCACAGTTTTCAATTGGATTGCATTTGTTTGCTTTAGACTTTTGGGCCTCTTGAATCATCGCTTTCTTTTTTTTTGTGAAATTACCATTACGTTTGATCTTTTCCACAATTTCCTGTCTTTTTCATGAATAAATTTCATACGATCCATTATTGTTTGCCCGATGATAAATCAACTTTGTTATCAACAAAAATAAATAAAACATAGTGGAATATGTGTTGCAAAAACGTTAACACCTGACTTTAATATTCCTAGTTCCTATGTAACTAACCATAAACTATATTGTGATTAGAAAATTCATGGCAGTTTGAAAATAAGATTACAACTTTATCACTTAGTAACCACTCAGCTGCTTTTTATAATTTCGGTTTCCAAATGACGAAAAGATAACTATATTTAATCTTGTGTAACCTGACATGTAACACGTGTCTTTAATGTGACTATTGTGCAACTTTTAATTTTTTTTTATATTTGCAACACTAGTCACAAGTGCTACTTGGGAACATATTTTTGAAGAGCAAATGTACAGCAAAATGAAAAAAAAATTTGGTATCAAATTTGTCAATTGCGTAAACTGAAATCAAATTACGATTTCAGTTTGATGTTGATATCAAAACTTTATTTCAATTTGCTGTCATTTTGACGCTGGATTTTGCTCGGGAACTCAGTGGGTAACGCGTTCTTTGGGGGAAAGTTGTAGTACAAATGTAAAAGTGCCTCAAAAGTTGCTCTTAGAAAAACTTTTTTATGAAAAATTGCTCCATCCTGGATGGCTTTTAAAATGTCCGCGTTTTCGTAAATTTTTTATAAAAACAATATAAAAATCCAAAACACGTTTTTTTTTGTTATTTGAATATTAACGTTTATTATTTTTTTTTGTTTTTTTCATATATAGGGTAAATGTCGGCTTCGGCACCCATTGACTGTTTTCGGCAACCAAAATTTAAACGATAATTTCACTATGTTTTCCCATCGACACACTTCCCTGAATGTATCCAAACGATTCTTTAGTCTTTCAGCTTCAATCTGATTATATTTGTACGACCGAGCAATCCTATTATGCCAGATTTTTCTTCAAATGAAGCATACGCACTACAAAATGGGGCTGATTTCGAGTTGCCGATAATAGAACAGCTGGTTAACACGCAGTTCTAATGGGAAGGTTGCCGAAGAAAAAGAGGCAGCCGACAATAGTCACACTCACCTGAGAAGTTTGCAGCATTGTAAAAACGCTTTCAAACCGTTTTGAAAAATTCTGTCGATTGGAATGGATAGAGAAGCAAGCAGCAGATGAATGTTAACAAACAGACACGTGATATGTGCGTGATGCTGAAAAAATGCTAATAGAAGTGCGGACGCTGCTTAGATTGACGAGAATACGTAAATTCCCCTATATAAAACGAAAAAAAAATGTTCAGGGTACATTTTTCATAAAGCTTAGTTATTTCCCTACAACTCTTTGCCTGTCAATTTTTCTCTACAACCAACTGTTTTTGAACTACCGTAAAACGGGGTATCTTTGATAATGCGGGTAGCTTTGTTAGTATAATGTAAAGATTAAATTTACTCGCTACGCTTTTTCCAAATTAGAAACGTTGGATTCATATTGTAGCTTAGGGTATATCCAAGGTTGCAAAGACTCATTTCAGCTGAAACAATGTTTTTCTAAATTATGAAATAATTAGATGCCATGATCAAATTTTGAATTGGTAGGATACAAGAAGAGGTTGCAAAGAATTTGTTTGACATATTAAACCTGTTTATTTCACTTCATGAGAGTCACAATCAGCGATTTTTCACAAACTCACTCACTCACTCACTCACTCACTCAGCGATCAGCAAATCGCTGATTGTGACTCATAGAAAGCAAAATTTACAGGTTTTATGTTTCCAGCGCATACTTTGTTACCTCTTCTTGTAAGTTACAAGTAAAACATGCCATCATACCATCTTTTGGTTTTATTATTCCGAAAAACATTATTTTAGCTGAAATGAGTCTTTGCAACCTTGGGTATATCCATTGATATCGTATATAGTTTTTATATAGTATGTATTACATATTTTACAAACATATTAAAAAAAAAAACAATTTTCGTGTTTTTTCACCTGTTTGAAAAAGCACTCAAACCATCACTTATTAAATGTATTTCCTATATAGCCATCACAAATTCAATGTTGTATTCTTTTTTTTTTTTTTTTTATAATGCGTTTATTTTTCCAGGCTCATTTGCCGTAGCTTTGCGGAGCCGATATTCATCGTTTGGGTACAAAATTACTTAAAACTAACGTTAGTAAAGCGGGGGCCGATTACTCGCGGCTTTCTCGAGGTTAGGGGTAACAAATTGTAACAAACGGGTGGCAGGGTAGGGATTGAGAACACAAGGTTTTTTAGAGCAATGTGCTCTTGATCTAGAACTAAGCGACATACTGGAGAAAAAGACAAACATGGGGGTACACCGATGGAGACCTAGCAACTTGAGAGAACACAAGATGACACTAACTACTAAATCCTCAGATCGATCCGTTTTAAAAACACATAAATTAAATTAAAATAATCGAGATCTCGGCTCGCCAAGATGTCTCTAACCCTCGGCCCAGGTTGTTTTCCTCGGGCCCTGAGGGATGCGGATAACTCGGATCTAGCAACACAATGTAGGGTGCATGACCAAAGTACGTGGTCGATATCGTGATAGCCACTACCACAAGCGCACAAATTGCTGCCTGCGAGCCCGATTCGGAAGAAATGCGAGTCTAACGAGTAGTGATTGGACATGAGCCTTGACATGACACGTATAAAGTCACGGCTCATGTCCAATCCTTTGAACCATGGCTTGTTCGACACCTGTGGGAGAATAGAATGTAACCATCTTCCCAGATCACTCTCATTCCATTTTTGTTGCCAGTTGGTGAGGACGTGCTGACGGGTAATTGAAAAAAATTCCGCAAAGGTGATTTGTCGATCAAAAATATCGCCTTCCATAGCGCCCACCTTAGCTAGCGAGTCCGCTTTCTCATTACCCGGAATTGAGCAATGAGATGGGACCCAAACTAAGGTGATAGTATAGGAGCAGTTAGATAAAGTACTCAATTTAGCTCGGATTTCGGTCAGGAAATACGAGGAGTGCTTCATCGGCCTCATTGATCGAATAGCCTCCAACGAGCTAAGGCTATCAGTAAAAATAAAATAGTGATCAGATGGTAGTGAGGCAATTTGCTCTACTGCGTAAAATATGGCTGCTAGTTCCGCAACGTATACGGAACAGGGTTTTTGCAGTTGATATGAGGCGCTATGAAATTCGTTGAATACTCCAAATCCAGTAGAAGCGTTTATAGTTGACCCATCTGTGAAAAAACTCTTATTGTTACTAACATGGTGGTACTTGTTTGCAAAAATTAAGGGAACAACCATCGACCGATGGTGATCTGGTATTCCACGGATTTCTTGCAACATGGTCAGATCAAAATTTACAGAGGAACTATAAAAGTCTTGGAGGCAAACACGAGAGGAATTGAATGAAGAAGGGCCAATCTCCAGCGTCATGTACTCGTAATAGAGACTCATGAATCTTGTTTGAGGATTTCTGTCGAGCAGCTTCTCAAAATTTTCTATTACCAATGGGTTCATTACTTCACAACGGATAAGAAACCGGAAGGACAGTTCCGCGAAACGATCTGTCAGTGGGAGAACACCCGCGAGTACTTCGAGGCTCATCGTATGCGTCGAGTGCATACAGCCAAGCGCGATTCGGAGGCAACGGTATTGCACCCGTTGCAGCTTCAGGATATGTGTTTTCGTCGCGGATTGAAAGCAGAAGCTACCTTACTCTAGAACCGACAAGATGGTTGTTCGATACAACCTGATCAGATCTTCCGGGTGTGCTCCCCACCAAGTTCCAGTAATTGTATGAAGAAAATTGATTCTTTGTTGGTACATATTTTTGTTTCACATACGTAATATGTTTTCCCCTCGTGCTTTTGGAATCGAACCAGACACCTAAATACTTGAAAGATATACTTTGAGTGATTGTTCTACCCTTTAGTTGAAGCTGTAACTGTGCAGGATGATGCTTCCTAGAAAAAACAACCAACTCAGTTTTCTCCGGAGAGAATTCGATACCCAGCTTCATTGCCCAAGTAGACAAATTGTCTAAGGTATCTTGCAATGGTCCTTGCAGGTCCGGTGCACTTGGCCCTATAACGGACACAACCCCGTCATCTGCAAGCTGCCTAAGCGAGCAATTTTCATCAAAACAACCATCAATGTCTTTTACATAAAAATTATAAAGAAGGGGGCTTAAACATGAGCCCTGGGGGAGACCCATGTAACTAATTCGTGAAGTTGTCGAGTTTCCATGAGAAAAGCTCATATATTTCTCAGACAACAAGTTGCTCAAATAGTTGTTCATAATTGGTGAAAGCCCACTATCGTGGAGTTTATCCGAAAGGACATCGATACAAACAGAATCAAAAGCCCCCTTAATGTCCAAGAAAACTGAACCCATTTGCTGTTTTTGCGCATAGGCCAGTTGAATTTCAGTTGAAAGCAACGCAAGACAGTCGCTCGTTCCTTTGCCTCTCCGAAATCCAAATTGCGTATCTGAAAGTAAACCATTCGACTCGACCCATTTGTCTAGACGAAAAAGAATCATTTTCTCCAACAATTTCCGTATACAGGACAGCATCGCGATGGGACGGTACGAGTTATAATCCGACGCGGGTTTACCGGGTTTTCGAATGGCGATAACTCTTACTTCCCTCCAATCATCCGGAACAATGTTGTGCTCCAAAAATTGATTGAATAAGTTCAACAAGCGTCTCTTCGTGACGTCTGGGAGATTTTTGAGCAAGTTGAACTTGATTCTATCCATTCCTGGAGCTGAGTTGTTACATGAAAGGAGAGCAAGTGAGAATTCCACCATCGAAAACGGGGAATCTACTTCGTTATTACCCGACGGACGATCACGAACGTTGGTTTGAACCGGTACCGAATCCGGGCAAACTTTCCGCGCGAAGCTGAAAATCCATCTGTCCGAGTACTCCTTGTCTTCATTAATCGGTGATGACGCGTTTCGCATTCTCCTGCCGACATTCCAGAGTGTTCTCATGGAAGTCTCTCGCGACAAACCATCGACGAACCGACGCCAGTATCCGCGTTTTTTTGCTTTAATTAAGTCCTTAAAGGTTTTCTCGAGGTCGGTGTACCGCTCGAAATCCCCGACCTTACCGTGTTTGCGGAAGCGTTTAAACGCGGCGGACTTCTCGCTGTTCGCGTCGGTGCAATCCTTATCCCACCACGGGGTGGGAGGTCGCTTGCGGACGGAAACACCCGGAACACGTTTCGTCTGTGCTCGCAGCGCACAATCGATGATGACACGCGCGAGAAAGGAGTACTCGTCCAGCGGAGGAAGTACGTCAACCGATTGACTGGCATCAAGAACCGCGGACGCGAATTTTCGCCAGTCAATGTTTTTCGTAAGATCGTACGCGATGTCGACCGAGCGAGTAGAAGATGAACCATTGGTAATAGAAATTTTGATTGGCAAATGGTCACTACCGTAGGGATCTTGAATTACTTTCCACGAGCAATCCAACGATAGTGAACTCGAACAAAGTGAGAGGTCTAATCTGCTTATTTTTGCTGGAGGTTTGGCTACTCGTGTTGCTTCCCCGGTGTTCAGAATTGTCATTTTGAAGAAGTCGCACATGTCGTATATCAAGGTTGAGCGGTTGTCGTCGTACAGTTCCCCCCAGCCTGTACCGTGAGAGTTAAAATCTCCCAAGATCAACCGTGGCTCCGGCATAGCCGTGCAGATATCCGCGAAACTTTGACGAGAGATCGCGGTTTTCGGTGGAAGATATACTGAGGCAATACTGAGGCATTTACCTCGAATATTAACCTGACATGCAACTACTTCAATGCCTGTCACTGAAGGCAGATCGATTCTATAGAAGGAATGGAGCTTGTTGATCCCCAGAAGCACCCCTCCATACGAATCTGCGCGGTCAAGGCGTATAATGTTGAAATCGTGGAAAGCAAGATCGTTGTCTGAAGAGAGCCATGTTTCACAAAGGGCAAATGCATCAGAAAGTGAGTTGTTAACTAAAAATTTAAATGTGTCAAGTTTTGGCATAAGACTTCTACAGTTCCACTGAAGAACAGAGATCATATCCCCGACCTCATTCGGAGAATTATCCATCAAAGGATATGATCGATGCAAGGAAGGACCACCTAGAAGCTAGTTGCTTCAAAAGATTTTTCACCATTGGCACCTCGTTGAGTCAGAGATATTGAATATACTGAAGAAGCTATTCACAATACCAGAAAACGTGAACATGGGGGCATGTTCTTGCTGATTATTCAGCTGCTTTTCTGGCCGAAAAACTGGGACA